AGCAAAAGGAAGTCTGATGTGTTCTTCTAATATGTAGTTTCCATTTTTCTTTTTTTAAATTCTAGGAAGTTTTCTTGATTTATAGTTTTTAGTATTTGTTTTCATCCTTTTGTCTTTGTTTTCTTCAAGGACTCCTAGCATATATGAATTGGATCTTCTTTTTCTAACTGTGATATTTGTCATTTGTCCTCAAATACTATTATTTCTCTTTGTAAAAAATATGTTCCTCCTTTCCACCTTCTATTTCTTTTAAGCCATCTGTGTTGTGTTTATTTGCTCTGTGTTCCCTGCAGTTTAATTTTCTATTTTGAAAGATTTTCTCTTTTACTCCCAAATATTTTCTGAAATCTATTGTGAGTTTTTCTACTTCTTATTTACGTTACTATTTCATTGTCTCGCATCATTTTCTTAATGTTGTTTAGCTTGTTCAAAATAGTTGGCTATAATTTTGATGCACTCTGTGAGCATGTGTTTTTGGCATTCTTCCATTGTGTCCAAGAATGGTATTCTACCCCTTATTGTTTTATTCTTACAGCAATATTGTATGGGATTTGTCCTCTGTATATTTCTGTTGCTCCTCTTTATATCAAATTAGTTTTCCTGAACTTTCAGAAGGAGGTGGGGTTCAGGGTAGCTTTTCAAGTGTCAGAGCTCCCTCTTCTGTTGTTTTTGCATAGTGCTAAAAATTATGGAAGCTTGTTTCTGAGATTCTTGGCTCTGTTCCCCCACTTTAAACAATCTCTTCCCTTATTGAGGTAGGCCGAATAATGACTCCCCAAGATAAATCCCTGGAACCTGTGTATGTTACCATATGATAAAAGGACTTTTGGGGTGTTATTAACTTAAAGATTTTGAGATGGAGAGATTATTCTAGATTATCAACATAGGCCCTAAATGCAATCGAAAGTGTCTTTATAAGAGGGAAGCGGAGGAAGATGACACAAATAGCAGAAGAAAATATGAATACAGAGGCATAGATTCGAGTGTTGTAGTCACAAGCCAAGGAATGCCAGCGGCCACCGACAGCTGGAAAGGCCAAGGAATGAGGTGCTGCCTTGCCAACACCTTGATCTTGGCCCAGCCATACTGATTTTAGATTTCTGGCCTCTAGAATTGTGAACAAATAAAATTCTGTTGTTTCAAGTCACCAAGTTTGTGGTAATTTGTTACAGTAGCAATAGGAAACTGGTTTGGTCGCAAAAGTGGGGTGTTGCTGTAAAAAATACCCAAAAATGTGGAAGTGGCTTTGGAATAGAGTAATTAGTTAATAGGTAGAGGCTGGAAGATTGTTGAGAAACATTATAGAAAACTCCCAGGTTACCTAAAACACCCTGTTGGTAGAAATATGGATGTTGAAGGCACTGCTGATGAGGATTCAGAAGAAATAAAGACAATGGTAGAGAATGTCTATATCATCTTAGAGAATACATGTATGATCATAAGCATGTTAATAAAAACATGACCATTAAAAGTGCTGCTGGTGAGGGCTAAGAAGGAAATCTTACTGGAAACTATAGGAAAGATGATCCTCATTATAAAGTGACAGAAAACAGCAATTAAGCTAATTGCTAATCCTACCATTATGTTAAAAGCAGACTTATAAGCAGTGAACTTGCATATTTAGCTAAGGGGATTTCCAAGCAAAGTGTTGAAGTGCAGCCTGGTTTTTCCTTGCTGCTTATGGTAAAATGTGAGAGGGAAGTGATAAGCTGAAGGAAGAACTGCTAAGCAAAAATGAATCAGGGCCAGGCACAGTGGCTCATGCCTGTAATCCCAACACTTTGGGAGGCCAAGCGGGGAGAATCACTTGAGGTCAGGAGTTCAAGACCAGCCTGACCAACATGACAAAACTCTATCTCTACTAAAGATACAAAAATTAGCTGGGTGTGGTGGCATACACCTGTAATTCCAGTTACTCCAGAGGCTGAGGCACGAGAATTACGTGAACCTGGGAGGCAGAGGTTGCAGTTAGCTGAGATTGCGCCACTGCACTCCAGTCTGGGTGAAAGAGCGAGACTCCGTCTCAATAAATAAATAAAAAGAATCAGGACTTGATAATTTGAGAAATTCTTAGCCTATCCAGGTTGCCAAAGCTACTAAAATTAGGATATTTGTTTTTAGGAAAGCATGCTCTGGAGAGACGGACAAAGGTATGGCTGGGTAACCATTTGCTACTACAAAAGAGATTAGGCATGTAATTCATGGATCCCCTCAATCTTTACAGCAGAAGCCAGGAGTAGAGATGGGATTAACAAGGGAAAGCCTGTGGAAGACCTTCTTGCCTAATGGTGTGAATCCCTGCAACATATACAGGAGATCCGCAAGGTTTTCAAAGAATGTTATGCCAGCAGAAGCATTGCCAACTTATACTGAGAGACAGAGATGGAATGAAATGAAGGAAGGCTTACAGATTCCAAAGATTCTTCAGGCAAGAAACAGGGTGATAAAACTACTAAGCTTCTAACCCAAGCTACCCTTCAATAAAAAGGAAGAATGACTCCAAGCATGGAGTTTGGGGCCCATAGTGTCAATTCTTGAACTACAGAGGATTATTTCCAGGCCTTGAACTCTAATGGAATCTCCCCTGCTGGGTTTCAAAGTGGCTTGGTAACTACGACTTCTTAATTCCTTCAATTTTTCTCCCTTTTAGAATGAGAATGTCTATAACTGTTATCCTGTGCCTATCCCACCCTTGTGTTTTGGGAATAGATAACCATTTTCTTACTTCACAAGGTTCACAGATAAAGGGGAATTGTACCCTGGGTTGCCATACTTAGTTTCACCAAAACCTGATTTACATGATGAGATTTGCGACTTCTGAGCTCATGATATTCAACTAAGATTTTGAATTTGAGTTGATGCTGTAATGAACTGACACTTTTGAGGGTGTTGGGATAGGGTGAATGTATTTTTTATGTGGGATGAACATCAGTGTTTGAGAACCACAGGATGGATTGCATAGGTTGAATAATGACTCCCTAAAAGATATCTATGTGTTAATTCCTGGAACCTGTGAATGCTATATTATTTGGCTAAAGAAAGGACTTTGCAGATGTGATTAAGTTAAGGAACTTGCCATGAGGAGATCACCTGAATTATCTAAATGAGCCCTAAATGCAATCATAGATGATATTATAAGAGAGAGGTAGACGAGATGGCACAAAAGACAATGTGACTACAAAGATGGAGGCTGGAGTGATGTGGCCATAAGCCAAGGAATCCTGGCAGCCTCTGGTGGGAGCAGGGTCCTGCTGATACTTGATTTTGGCCCACTGATATTGATTTCAGACTTCTGGCCTGTATAACTGTGAGAAAATAAATTTCTGTTGTTTCAAGCCACCAAGTGTAAGGTATTTTGTTACAGTCGCCACAGGAAATGAATACACAAGTTCAAGAGATCTACTGCGCAACATGGTGACTATGGTTAGTAACAATTTGATATGGTTAGGCTTTGTGCCCTCACCTAAATCTCCTCTTGAATTGTAATCCCCACAATCTCTATGTGTCAAGGGAGAGACCAGGTGGAAGTAATTGAATCAGAGGGGCAGTTACTTCCATGCTGTTCTCATGATAGTGAGTCTGTTCTCACAAGATCTGATGGTTTTATTAGGGGTTCTTCCCCCTTTGCTTGGCACTTCTTACTACCGCCTTGTGAAGAAGGTGCCTTGCTTCCCCTTCACCTTCTTCCATGATTGTAAGTTTCCTGAGGCCTCCTCAGCCATGTGAAACTGTGAGTTTCTTTTATAAATTACCTTATAAATGTATATATTACCTTTATAAATTACCCAGTCTCAGGCAGTTCTTTATAGCAGCATAAAAACAGACTAATATACAATGTATTGTATACATGAAAACTGCTGAAAGTAGATTTTACATGTTCTCACCACAAATAAGTATTTGAGGTTATGTATATGTTAATTAGCTTGATTTGGCCATTCCACAATGTATATTTTATAACATCATATTGTACACCTATGATATTCTGATTTATAATAAGATATATATTTATTGGGCCAGACACAGTGGCTCATGCTTGTAATCCCAGCACTTTGGGAGTCTGAAGTGGGTGGATCACCTGAGGTTGGGAGTTCGAGACCAGCCTGACTAACATGGAGAAAACCTATCTCTACTAAAAATACAAAATTAGCTGGGCGTAGTGGCACATGCCTGTAATCCCAGCTACTTGGGAGGCTGAAGCAGGAGAATCTCTTGAATCTGGGAGGTGGAGGTTGTGGTGAACCAAGATCGTGCCACTGTTGTTGCCCAGGCAACAAGAAACTCCATCTCAAAAAAAAAAAAAGATATATTTGGTTTTCATCACCTGATATGGTTTGTATCTGTGTCCCTGCTCAAATCTCATTTCGAATTGTAATCCCTAATGTTGGAGGAGGAGCCTGGTGGAAGGTGACTAGATCACGGGGACAGTTTCTTATGAATGGCTTAGCACCATCCCCTTGGTGTTAAGTTCTCAAAGATTTGGTTGTTTAAGACTGTGTGGAACCTCTTCCACCCTCTCTCCCTCATGCACTGGCCACGTAAGATGTGCCTACTTCCCCTTTACCTTCTGCCATGGTTGTAAGTTTCCTGAGGCCTCCCCAGAAGCAGAAGCTGCTATGCTTCCTGTATAGCCTGTGGAACTGTGAGCCAATTAAACCTCTTTTCTTTATAAATTACCCAGTCTAGGCAGGGTGCGGTGGCTCAAGCCTGTAATCCCAGCACTTTGGGAGGCCGAGGCAGGTGGATCACCTGAGCTCAGGAGTTTGGGATCAGCCTGGGCAACAAGGTGAAACCCCGTCTCTACTAAAAATACAAAAAATTAGCTGGGCATGGTGGTACGTGCCTGTAATCCCGGCTACTCAGGAGGCTGAGGCAGGAGAATTGCCTGAACCCAGGAGGCGGGGGTTGCGGTGAGCTGAGATCGCGCCATTGCACGCCATTGCCTGGGTAACATGAGTGAAACTCTGTCTCAAAAAAATAAATAAATAAATAAATTACCCAGTCTCAGGTATTTCTTTACAGCAGTGCAAGAACAGTCTAATACATTCCCGATTTCCCAGCGCAGAGTTCCTAAGAGCCTTGGAATCTCCAGAGCGATGAGTGACTTTTTATACTAATGAGATGATGATGACTGGTGGCCCCTAGATAGCCTCAGGATGGGGGCTGGTCACAAGAAAGACCAAAGCATGATTAGAGGATTGAGACTTGCAGACCCACCATAAACTCTGGGGAGGGGAGAAGGGCAAAAGGCTAACTTGATCACCAATGGCCAATTATATAACCAATCATGCCTACATAATGAAGTTTCCATAAAAGCCCAAAAGAACTGTCTTTGGATGAGCTTCCAGGTAGTTGAACACAGGGAGATTCCTAGAAGGTGGCATGCCTAGAGAGGGCATGGAAGCTCTGCATCCCTTCCCCCACACCTCACTTAATGCATCTCTTCCTTCTGCTATTCATCTGTATCCTTTGTAATACCCTCGATAATAAATGGGTAAATATAAGTAGTGTTTCCCTAAATTCTAGGAGTTGCTTTAACAAATTAATTGAACCCAAGGAGGGGGTAATTGATTTATAGCTGGCTGGTCAGAAGTGTAGGTCACAATCTGGGACTTACAATTGGCATCTGAAGTGAGGGCAGTCTTGTGGTACTGAGCCCTCTAATAGTAGTATTTCCAGGCAGCATCAGAATTGAATTGGAGGACACCCAGGTGATATCCACTGAAGAATCTGACGTCAGAAGTGTTGCATTAGCTGTGTTAAGAGTAAGAGAAACACTGTTTTTCCCGACTACCTCTGTTAATACATAAATATATACGATTTTTCTTTGTCAATTAAATAATAATAAAAACAAAACAAAACAAACATGAGAGGCTGGGTGCAGTGGCTCATGCCTGTAATCCCAGCAATTTGGGAGGCCAAGGCAGGTGGATTGCTTGAGCCCAGGAGTTTGAGACCAGCCTGGGCAACACAGTGACACCCTATCTCTACAAAAAAATATAAAAAATTAGCCAGGTGTGATGATATGCACCTGTAGTCCCAGCTACTCAGGAAGCTGAGGTGGGAGTATCACTTGAGACCAGGGAGGATGAGGCTGCAGTAAGCTGTGATCATACTACTGCACTCCAACCTGGGCAACAGAGCGAGACCATCTCAGAAAAAAAAAAAAAAAATTACATTTACTATTGCCCTATCCTGTTCAATTTTTGTTTTACTCCCAGCAGTTTCTCCTTAGTGTAGTTTGCTGTCCTGTAAGACAGCCCTGGTGTATCATCATACAGTAAAAAATTAACTTAGGAAGTCTGGGTTGTTTAAACCTTATACATTCCAAGGAAAGGTTTGGCCCTTGCCCAGCTCCTGGGACTCTAAGCCAGGGGTCCTGAACTGCCAGGCCACAGACAAGTATGAGTCCGTGGTCTGTTAGGAAGCGGGCCACACAGCAGAAGGTGAGCGGCAGGCGAGGGAGCAATGCTGCTTGAGCTCTGCCTCCTGTCAGATCAGTGGCAGCATTAGATTCTCATAGGGGCACGAACTCTATTGTGAACTGTGCAAGCAAGGGATCTAGGCTGCACGTTCCTTATGAGAATCTAATGCCTGGTGATCTGAAATGGAACAGTTTCATCCCAAAACCATCCCCCTCTGCCCTACATCCATGGAAAGACTGTCTTCCACAAAACTGGTCCCTGGCGCCAAAAAGGTTGGGGACCACTGCTCTAAATCCTTGGAATATACTTGCCTGTTAAGAAACCTTTGTTTACTTGAGTGCATGAGCCATGCCAGATAGCTGTGATTTTTGGTGAGGGTCTTGGGCTGTGCAGTATCAGCGTGAACCTTGGAAGGACTGAGTAAGGTCAACCACATAGGTAGTTGGCCATACCTGAGACTGACTCCAAATAAAAACCACAAACACCAAGGCTCAAGTGAACGTCCAAGGTTGGCAATACTTCATGCACGTTACCCCACATCTTGCTGGGAGAATTAAGCACTGGCCGTATAACTCCACTGAGAAGGGAGAACCCAAAGCTGGATCCTTGTTTCCCCTGGACTCTGCCCTATGTGCCCTTTTCCATTGCTGAATTAAGTCTCTATCCTTTTGCTCTAATCAACTGTAACCATCAGTATAGCAGCTTTGCTGAATTTTGAGTCCTTCATAATGGATCAGTGAACCTGAGGTTGGTCCTGGGAAACCCCCAGCACAGTCGGTCTTAAGAATTCATAGGAGGCTGGGCGTGGTGGCTCACGCCTTTTAATCTAGCATTTTGGGAGGCCAAGGCAGGAGGATCACTTGAGCTCTGGGGTTGAACACCAGCCTGGGCGACATAGCAAGACTTTGTCTCTACGAAAAATTTAAGAAATTAGCTCAGTGTGATGTCATGTGCTGTAGTCCCAGTTATTCAGGAGGTTAGGGGGGAGGATTGCTTGAGCCTGGGAGATTGAGGCTTAGGTGAGCCAAGATCATGGCACTGCACTCTCCAGCCTGGGTGACAGAGCAATTCCCAGTATCAAAAAAAAAAAAAAAAAAAAAAAAAAAGGTTCATAGGAATTATTATAGTCTGCTCCAACCCCTTCCAACCTTCCTGCAGACCTCTCACAATCACTTGTTCCTGAATTTTGCAAAATTCTTCTGTTTCAGCTGCTGAATTCAAGTTGACCTGCCACACCCATTGGCTGTTTTGGTATTGTGTCCTCAGGCCTGGCAAATGCTGCTTACTTCCCCTGCTTTTTCCTATATAGATAATTGTACCATGAGGTTCTTGTGGCTGTTGGTGATTTGTCCTTACTCATGTGCATTTTGATATTCATGGATATTTCAGCTATCTATTGCTGTATAAATAAACCGCACCAAAACTTAGTGGTTTAATAAGTATTTTTTTGCTCATGAATCTGGGCACAGCTCACTAGGGATGGCTCATCTGTTCTTCCCGCCCCCCCCCCCCAGGAGGTAGGATCTCATTCTGTCAACCATTGGAGCACAGTGGTGTGATCATAGCTCACTGCAGCCTAAAAATCCTGGGCACAGGCAATCCTCCTGCCTCAGCCTCCAGAGTAGCTGGGACTACTGGTATGTGCCACTGCATCTGGTTAATATTTTTTAGTGGAGATGAGGTTTTGCTTTGCTACACGGGCTGGTCTCAAACTTCTTGCTTTATTGCTTCAGATGATCTACCCACCTCAGCCTACCAAAGTGCTGGGGTTAAAGGTGTGAACCACCATGCCAAGATTTGTTTCTTCTCCATGTGATGCCTGGGGAAGCTGGAACGGTACTGGAGGATGCAAGATAATTTCATCACATGACTGGGACCTCAGTGCTAGTTGCCAGCTGGGGCCTCAGTTATGTACACAGCCTATATTTAAGAGTCTCATGCTCTACCGGCTGAGCTAGCCAGGTGGCCACCACAGTGCTGCATGACCTATTTTTAAATGGCATCTCATCCTCCAGGACCTCTGTCTACAGAAGGACAGCACAGACCTCTTTACAGGGTATCTAGGTTCCCCTCTAACGAAAGCATAAGTTCAATGTCATTTAAGGCTGGGCTCAGAAATCCCAGAATGCCATTTCTACCATACCTTATTGGTCAAATGGAACACAAAGCCAGCCCAGACACAAAGGATGAAAAAATAGGCTCCATGTCTTGATGGGAGGGTGGCAAACATGTACAGGGTTGGAAATATGGCTGGCAGCCTTATCTGCAGATAACCTGCCACACTGGGGACACTGCATCCACTGGCCTCACCGTAAATGTTGTCCATGGGTTTTGATTTTGCCATCTGGTTGCTCTGTCTGTATGCTGGCATGACAAGAGAGTGAAAACTACACTGCTGCCATCATGCTTCCAGCGTCTCTCCTAATTAAAAAAAAAAAAAAAAAACTATCTGAGAACAAATTTTGGGTGGAGGTAGAATGAAGAGGTAAAAACATTCTAAATGGTTCATTCTCCTGAGAAATTAGGAATAAAGGCCAGTAACACATCTGTGTGTGTGTGTATGTACACCCATGTGTGTGTTTAATCTACCAATAGACAAAATGTGAATTATGCTTTTAAGGAATGGAAAGATAATCACCAGGATAACTGAGAAGCAGAGTAGAACTTCCAAATTACTAAGGGAGGGAGAAGGGGGGAATAAACAGAAGCTTGACAGAGCCAACAAATGTAAGGAAATTGAAAAGGTGGAAACAATAACAAAATCGAAAAAAGGAAACAAAGTCCAATGCAACATACAAAATCAGGCATATCACTGATAAACTGAATGGAGTCCTATAAAAGAGAGGGACTTTGAAATTGAGTTAAAAAACAAAAGTTATGTGTTGTTTACCAAAAGCATTTTTTATTTTTTTTTGACACAGACTTTCACTCTTCTTGCCCAGGCTGGAGAGCAGTGGCATGATCTTGGCTCACTGCAACCTCCACCTCCCGGGTTCAAATGATTCTCCTGCCTCAGCCACTGAGATTACAGGCACGCACCACCGTACCGGGCTAATTTTATATTTTTAGCAGAGACGGGTTTCTCCATGTTGGTCAGGCTGGTCTTGAACTTCCAATCTCAGGTGACCCACCCACCTCAGCCTCCCAAAGTGCTGGGATTACAGGTGTGAGCTACTGCACCTGGCCTAGAAGCACATTTAAAATAGAGAGACTGGATGGGCAGGATGGCTCACGTCTGTAATCCCAGCACTTTGAGAGGCCAAGGTGGGAGGATCACCTGAGGCCAGGAGTTTGAGACCAGATTGAGACCTCATCTCCATAAAAATAAAAATTAGCCTGGCATGGTGATGCACGTCTGTAGTCCCAGCTACTCGAGAGGCTGTGGTGGGAGGATCACTTAAGCCCAGGAGTTCAATGCTACAGTAAGCTATAATTGTGCCAGGGCGAGAGTGAGACCCTGTCTCTACCAAAATAAAATTAAATTAAATTAAAATAACAAATAAAACAAAGAGACAAAAGCTGGATGCAGTGGCTCACATCTGTAATCCCAGCATTTTGGGAGGCTGAGGCAGGAGGGTCACTTCAGGCCAGGAGTTTGAGATTAGCCTGGGAAACATAGTAAGACCCTGTGTTTAAAAAAAACTTAAAAATTAACTGGAGGAGTTGGACACTGCAGTGAGTTATGATCGCCCCAGAGTGAGACACCATCTCTAAAAAAGTTAGAGAGCTCTGAGAACTCCTGAGCTCAAGCCATCTTTCCACCTCAGCCTCCCAAGTAGCTGGAACTACAGGCGCATACCACCACCATGCCCAGTTAATTTTTATTTTGGTAGAGATGGGGTCTCACTTTTTTGCCCATGCTGGTCTCAAACTCCTGGGCTCAAGGAATCCTTCTGCCTTGGCCTCCCAAAGTTCTGCAATTATAGGGGCGTGCCTCCTGTAAACAAAAAATTTGCCAGGTATGGTGGTGCACACCTGTAGTTCCAGCCACTTTAGAGGCTGAAGTGGGAGGATCAATTGAGCCCAGGAGGTTGAGGCTACAGTGAGTCATGATGGCAGCACTGTACTCCAGCCTGGGTGACAGAATGAGATCCTGTCAATCAATCAATCAAGGAATAAATAAAATGAATAAATAAAAAGAATCCAAAGTAAAAAATATGAAAATTATAAGCTAATTAATGAAAAAAAACCTCTGTATCTTACAAGCAAACTATATAATAATCTCTACTCCTGTGTCCCTGCAACATTAAAAACATTCAATTATCTAACTTCACCTCAGATAAATGATTTATACCTTTTTTAAAGAAGGGCTTGGACAGATCACATTCTTTAAGATCCAGTAAAATCAGAAATAAATTAAAATATTACCACCCCCAAAAAAATTTTTTTTTAAGAGACAGGGTTTTGCTGTGTTAGCCGGGATGGTCTCAATCTCCTGAACTCGTGATCCACCGCCTCAGCCTCCCAAAGTGCTGGGAGTACAGGCGTGAACCACCGCGCCCGGCTTACCAAAATGTTTTAACCAGTTGGAAATTAAGAAACACTTTCCTAAATAGATCAGAACTAAGTGGGTCTATATTATATAAATTATTCCAGTTCATAAAGACAGACAGAAATTTCCCAGTTTATCTTATTAAAGAATAACTTTAATACCAAAACTGAAATATGCTGCTTGAAAAATAACTAGAAGCAGGCCAGGCATGGTGGCTCACACCTGTAACCTCAGCACTTTGGGAGGCCAAGGCAGGTGGGTCACCTGAGGGCAGGAGTTTGAGAACAGCCTGGCCAACATGGTGAAACCCTGTCTCTACTGAAAATATAAAAATTAGCTGGGCGTGGTAGTGGGCACCTGTAGTCCCAGCTACTAGGGAGGCTGAGACAGGAGAATTTCTTGAACCCAGGAGGCAGAGGTTGCAGTGAGCTGAGATCGTACCACTGCACTCCAGCCTGGGCAACAGAGCAAGACTCTGTCTCAGAAAGGGGAGGAGAGGGAAGGGTCAGAACTAGAAACAATCTTTTGTGAATATAGATAGAAAATTCTATATAAAATATCAGCAAATCAAATCCAGACATGTCTAAAGAAAAACAAATTTGCCTTAGCCATTAAGATGATTCCAGGAATACTGGTAGGGTTTAATACTTGTAAATAAATCAACATAATTCATTACACCAATGCTTTAGAAAAACTATATAATGCTATCAATTAATATGAAAAAGAATATGATAAAACTCAGTGGCCATTGCATTAATAAGAAAAACTAGAGATAGAATAGTAAGAGAAGGAAACTACTTAAAACGAACGACACTATTTTCCAAAACTTACCAGAAAACTGTATACTAAATGGTAAAATGTTTAAATCATTTCCATTAACATTGGCAACAAGATAGGACGTTTTCTATCACATCCATTACCAACAGTATTTTGAAGGCTCTGTCTCAGTGTTGTCCAATACAGCATTGTCCATCATTCTGTAATGATGGAAATGTTTTTATATTTAGCATTATCCAATACAGTAGCCACTAGCCATATTTGGGTACTGAGCACTTGAAATTTGGCTAGGCAACTGAGAAACCGAATTTTAAGTTTGATTTAACTTAAATTTAAACAGTAGTCCAGGCATGGTAGCACACGCCTGTAATCCCAGCACGCTGGGAGGCCAAGGCAGGTGGATCCCTTGAGCTCAAGAGTCTGAGATCAGTCTGGGCAACATGGCAAAGCCCCATCTTTACAAATACAAAAATTAGCTGGGCGTGGTGGTGCACACCTGTAGTCCCATCTACTTGGGAGGCTAAGGTGAGGGCATCGCCTGAGCCTGGGAGGGAGAGACTGCACTGAGTAGAGATCATGACATTCCACTCCAGCCTAGGTGACAGAGTGAGACCCTGTCTCAAAAAAATAATAATAAAAATATAAAATAAACAGTCAATGAGCTTAGTGGCTACCTTATTAGACAGCTGAAACAGTGAAAAAAGGAGAAAAATAATCATATCAAATGTCAGATAGAGAATATTATTTATAGCTGCTATGATCGTACAATTAGAAAACCTACAAAAAAACTATACTAAGATGTTACCAGAATAGGTAGATAGTTTTGATAAGGAGCTGGATACAAGATAAAATTATCACCTGTAGTCCCAGCCATTTGGGAGGCTGAGGTGGGAGAATCACTTGAGTCCAGGAGTTTGATACCAACCTGGGCAACATAGGGAGAACCTGTCTTTACAAAAAAATTCAAAAATTAGCTGGGTCTCGTCAGGCACAGTGGCTCACACCTGTAATCCCAGCACTTTGGAAGGCTAAGGCGGTAGATCATGGGGTCAGGAGTTCAAGACCAGCCTGGTCAACATGGTGAAATTCCATCTCCACTAAAAATACAAAAATTAGCTGGGTGTAGTAGCATGTGCCTGTAGTCCCAGCTACTCAGCAGGCTGAGGCAGGAGAATCGCTTGAACCTGTGAGGCAGAGGTTGCAGTGAGCCAATATGTCGCCACTGCACTCCAGCCTGGGTAAGAGAGCGAGACTCTGTCTCAAAAAAATGAGCTGGGTCTGGTGGTGCACACCTATAGTCCCAGCTACTTGGGAGGCTGAGGAGGGAGGATCATTTGAGCATGGGAGGTTGAGGCTGCAGTGAGCTGGGATCATGCCAGTGAACTTCAAGGCAAGACCCTGTCTCAAAATAAATAAATAAATAAAAGAGAAAATTATAAAAATAGGTTCTTCCTATACTAGCAATAAGCAGATAGGACTAGTAAAAATAACGACAACAAAATAAATACGTAAAAATAAATTTAACCAAAAAAGATAAAAAGATGGATTTATAAGAAGAAAAATTATAAATAGCACTGCAGCATATAAGACATAATCAGACACATCAAATCCCTAGATACAAAGGCTTAATGTAATAAAAACATTACATCTCCCCAAATATTATGTTAATGTAAATATAATTCTAATCATCACAATTATAATAGGGTGTTTTTTTTTTTGAGACAGAGTCTTGCTCTGTCACTCAGGCTGGAGTGCAGTGGCATGACCTCAGCTCACTGCAACTTCTGCCTCCCGGGTTCAAGCAATTCTCCTGCCTCAGCCTCCCAAGTAGCTGGGATCACAGGCGTGCGTCACTGTGGCTAGCTAATTTTTATATTAGTAGAGACGGAGTTTCACCTTGTTGGCCAGGCTGGTTTTGAACTCCTGACCTCAAGGGATCTACCTGCCTCTACCTCCCAAACTGCTAGGATTACAGGTGTGAGCCACCTTGTTCAGCAATAGTTTAGGGTTTTTTTTGAGACAAAGTCTCACTCTGTCGCCCAGGCTGGAGTGCAGTGGTGTGATCTCCATTCATTGCAACCTCCACCTCCTGGGTTCAAGTGATTCTCCTGCCTCAGCCTTCCAAGTAGCTGGGGTTACAGGTGCATGCCACCACGCATGGCTAATTTTAGTATTTTTTTTTTTAGTAGAGACAGGGTTTCCCCATGTTGGCCAGGCTGGTCTCAAACTCCTGGCCTTAAGTGATCTGCCCGCCTTGGCCTCCCAAAATGCTGGGATTACAGGTGTGAGCAATCTCGCCCAGCCACAACAGTTTAGTTTTGTTGTGGGTGTTTTTTTTGGGTGGGGGGTGGGTTGGTAGCATTCATTTTGAAATTTGATTAAATGATTTTAAGCTTCAGAGAATTCCTAGAAAATAAATTTGTAAGAACAAAAATCCCTTGAAATTAAATAGATTACAGACACAAAATAGAGTTCAGGTCGAGCTAAGTATATTTGTGACCTCATATGACAGGAACGATATTTAATTCAGTAGGTACAGGGTGGTGTGTTCCATAAATAGTGCCAGCTGACAATACTGACACCTCATCCTGGTGAGCAGTGCAGGTCAAGAAATCCCCTTACTCTAAATGGAAAATGGCTTTTATGAAAAATGGCTTACTGTAAAGAATCATCCTTCCCTATATGACTTAGAAATCACAGATGCCCCTGTTTACCTATGAGAAGGCCAGACACCCACCCTCCAAATTCCCATTCTTTGTCTCATAAATGATAAGCCTGCTTGTTCCCACTGATCAATCAGAACAAAATGCTCTTTAGCCAAACTTGAACCAGGGTTCTTTCCTACAAGCTCCTGGACTCTGCTTGCTCCCAAGCCTGCGCAAGCATCAAAAAAAGTAGAAATCCCCCCCACCTCCTGCAACGGACCCTGCTTCCCAGCTTCTCCTGAGAATGGGCCGACCACAGTGGCACACTTTCCTGGCGGACTCCACTGGCCATTCCCCCTTGTTTGTGGAGCTTCCTTTTCCACAGATTCTGTTTATCTCTGCCAGCCTCCTTACCCTCTAAAAGAAAAGCTTTTTTTTCTGTTTGGTTTCAAGATGCTCTCAGGTTTCTGAGATGGGAGCATTCTCCCTTTTGCAATAGTCTGTCTTTCTAATGAAAGTCTGTTTTTATTTGACACAGAAAAAAGCATGACACAGGCTTCTTTTCTTGTTCAAGCTTGATCTCGATTTCACACCATACACCAGAGTAAATTCCAACTAAAGTAGAAAAAAAGCAATAGGCCTGGCACAGTGGCTCACACCTGTGATCCCAACACTTTGGGAGGCCGAGGTGGGCAGATCACGAGGTCAGGAGATCGAGACCATCCTGGCCAACATGGTGAAACCCCATCTCCACTAAAAATACAAAAATTAGCCAGGTGGCGTGCGCCTGTAGTCCCAGCTACTCAGGAGGCTGAGGCAGGAGAATCGCTTGAACCTGGGAGGTAGAGGTTGCAGTGAGCCAAGATTGCACCACTGCATTCAACAAGGCTCCTTCGAAAGAAAGGAAGGAAGAAGAGAAGGAAGGGAGGGAGGGAAGGAAGAACACTGAAATAAATGTATAAATGTTAAGATTATCTTTCTATCTAGAATAGGGAAGGGAAACTAGGCAAGATGGGATATACAAAAGCCATAAAAGAAAGTTTAGACATACCTGATTAAAGGCTACATTTCACTAATTACATATTAAAAAGAACACATAAAATTTTTCTTTTTTTTGAGATGAAGTCTCGCTCTGTCACACAGGCTACAGTGCAGTGGTGCCTGCTCAGCTCACTGCAATCTCCACCTCCCGGTTCAAGAGATTCTCTTGCCTCAACCTCCTGAGTAGCTGAGATTACAAGCGCCTACCACCACGCCCAGCTATTTTTTTTTTTTTTTATTTTTAGTAGAGGCGGGGTTTCACCATGTTGGTCAGGCTGGTCTCAAACTCCAGGTCTCAGGTGATCCACCAGCCTAGGCTTCCCAAAGTGCTGGGATTACAGGCATGAGCCACTGGACTCAGCCCACATAACATTTTTCTCATTGCACATTAAAAAAAAAAAACATAAAATGCAAAAGACAAAAAGAGTTCAGGGAAAAAACTGCAATGTAATTGACAGATGATTAATATCCTTAATGTACAAAGATATTAATATCTCTAATGTAATATCCCTAATGTACAGTGTAACTGACAGACTGTTAATATCCCTAAGGTACAATGTAATTTGTACACTGTTTACAAATTGAAAAGAAAAGGACAAATCACCCCAAAGAAAACTGGACAAAGGATATGAAAATTTGCAAAAGAGAAAACCTAAATGGCCAACAGACCAAAACAATTGTCAGTTGGACAACTTGTCAAAAAAACACAACATTAAAGACAGCATCAACATCCAGCGCTGGAGGGGATTTGCCTTAATGAACTTAATGATTTTGCTGGTGGGACTAGGAAACCTTGCAATCTTTTGTGGGAAGGAATTTGGCTATATCTATTCAGTACACCGTTATCTGCAGTTAATAATAAAATTTCAAAATATAGGAAGCAAAATATTCAATAGCACAACGAAAACCTGATAAAACAGTCTCTCTCTTCTCTTTCTCCCCCCTCCCCCACCCTGTTGACAAGCTGAAGGGAATTATCAGGAAACACACATTTTAAACGGCCCAACGCACAAGCTTGAGCCAATAGAGCCGTAGAGTACGATAAACCCAACAACTGGAAGACACAGTCTTTTCAATGAAGACACAAACCCATTTTTGAAAGCTGGTCTCATACCTGAGCCTTAAGGCAAGTTTCAACAAATTTCAAGCTCAACCTTCTTGGGCCACAAGGCAAATCAGGCTTAGAAATCACTGACTTAAGGATTAACTTCTTGTTCGTTTGTGGAAATGCAAAATGGTGTTAGAACCTGTAATATTTTCTGCAGTCCCTCTAAATTCCTTCTTTGAATCGATCATTAAAACAGGACGCGATAGACCGAGCTGGGTCAAATTGCCGACGGCTCCATTGGGCAGCGTGTCCACCCCTGCTGACCAAAGCCCACCAAACGTGCAGCTGGCACTCGGCCGCCTTTGTTTCCTTCCCCTAGAATAAAACTCCACACCTTTCCCACATTCCTGGAGACACCGCGTTTGTGTGTTCTCTCTGGAGCAGCAGCCGGAATAAAAGGCCCATGGCCTTGCCCTTTGAGTCTCGGAGGATGTTTGCAACCGGGACAATGGACTTTAAATAATTCAGGGGTCAAAAGGTGTCGGGGGGGGAGAGTTACAAATCAGCACTTGAAACCGAACACGAAAAAAAATCCAACAAATCCAAACTAATATAACAAATCAAAACTTGGAACTTTAGAAGACAACTTCAACCTTAAAGCTTCCACGAGGAAAGCAGAAAGGCTAATGACTGAATTGTGAAAATGAACCAAGATGCTCCACCACTTATGTCACACACACCCATGACTCCCTGCACAGATCGACAGTCCCGGGCGCTGAATCCCCGCAACCCTCCGTGCCCACACAGGTTAAACTCTTGCTGCAAGCGACTTCCGCTTCCTGGCCTAAATCTGATACGCACGACTTCCCACCCACCCCCCGCCGGCCCCCCGCCACGGCGGCAACTGCACAGGTTCGGTGACAGCCAAGACACCGGGCGTTTCCCACAGCCGACCGGGGCCCAGGTTGGAGCTGTCGCCAGCGAGGCCGCCAGGTGGGCTCGGGACGGGGCGGGCGTGGGGTGCCGGCCGCCGCGGAGAGAGGGTTGCCGCGTACCACAGAGCAGTGCGGGGGCGGGGGCGGGGGCGGCTCGCGACCCGCTCCTGGGGGTGGGGGCTGGGTGATACTTAAAGAGGCGCAGGCTGCCCAGAGGGGACGGTCTGAGGCCGAGGGCATCCTGAGGGCGGAAGAGGCAACGCGCGCCGCCCGCTAGGGCCTCGGTGGTGACTGACTCCTAGAGGCTGCGGCGGAGGGGGAGAAGCCTGGTGGTACATTCCATGGCCCAGTGCCTCGGCCACTGGAAATCCCACAGGGGAATATCGGGTAGGGAACCACGGGCTTCAAGGCAGAAATGACCACCCCTCCAAGATGGCGGCTCCCGTAGAGATACTCCCAAGGGGACAGCCATGTTTCTTGCCTGACAGTCACTGAAGGAAATTGGAAAGGCCGCCTCTCCTTCGACTCACACGCACACGCACACGCACCGACGCGCTGTAAGGGCACCAGGTGTAATTGTGGGCGAGCGGCCGCTTCGGAGCTGACACTGAGCATGTGCAAATCAAGTCCTGAAGGGCGGGGGTCCCTCGAAGCAGTTTTCAGGACTTAGGAGTGAGTTCAACAGACGGACTTAGGGCCACTTAAGCATTGAGATAATTATGAGGATGTTATGACATGGATCAAGCATTGAGATAATTATGGTGATGTTATGACATGGATTTCGTACTCAATGATGATGCTCAGTAGGGTGAGGAGGCTTCTCTGGGGTCATTTATAGGGAAGTGCGGAGAGTGAGTGATTGGGGTTTGTGGGTGAGTGATGGGGTCACTAGAGAAAGATGATGGGTAGCCTGTGGGCTGAGTGATGGGGACACGAGTGAATGATAAGGGCGTCTGTCGGGTGAGTGATACAGGGTCCCTGGGGTGAGTGATAGGGTATATGTCAGATGAGTGAAGAGAAGTCTGTGGGGTGAGAAGGGGCGGTGCGGGGTGAATACTGGAGGTCTGTGAGGTGTAGGATGGGGTCTATTGGGTGATTGCTCAAGGTTTCTGCCAGGTGAGTGATGTGTTTATTTGGGACTAGTAATGGGGCGGGGTCTGTGGAATCAGATATGCAGCTTCTGGGGTCAGTGATAGGTGGTCTTTAGGTCTGGAATGAGGTTGTTTCAAAAACCTACTTTTGACTTTGTTGATCCTCCTGTATCTTTGTTTCTCTGTCATTAATTTCTGCCCTTAACTTTGTTCTTTTCTTTTTTTTTCTTTTGTTCTCATTTTTAAAGTCCTGAATTGAATGCTTATCTCTTACTATCCAGTCATTTTATTTTATAATATGAACATTCAGTTTATAAATTTTTCTCTAAGAACACTTTAGCTCCATGCCACGTGTTTTGTTGTTGCTGCTGCTGTTTTGTTTTGTTTTGTTTTGAGACAAGGTCTCACTCTGTCCCCCAGAGATGGAGTACAAGTGGCATGATCACAGCTCACTGCAGCCTCAACCTGTGCTCAGTCGATCCTCCCAACTCACCCTCCCAAGTAGCTGGAACTACAGGCCTGTGCTGCCACACCACTACTTTTTTATTTTGTGTAGACACGGGGTCTCACTGTGTTGCCCAGGCTGATTTTTTTTTCTTGTTAAAATTCTTTTAGGAAGACCTCACCTGAAGATTTTTTTTTAAGATACAAGAATCTCCCTCTGTCGCCCAAGCTGGAGTGCAGTGGAGCTATCATGGCTTACTGCAGCCTCAACCTCCTAGGCTCAAGTGATCCTCCAACCTCAGCCTCCCAAGTTGCTGGGACTACAGGCAAGCTTGCCCAGCTAATTTTTAAATTTTTGGGTAGAGATTGGGGTCTTGCTCTGTTGCCCAGGCTGGTCTTGAACTCCTGGCCTCAAGCAATCCTCAAGTAGTCCTCCCACCTCATCCTCCCAAAGTGCTGTAACTACAGGCGAGAGCCACTTCGTCCAACCCACAAGTTTCGATATGTAGCATCTCCACTATAGTTTCCTTCTAATGATTTCTAATTGCAGTTGCAGTGTTCACTCTTACCTCTGGGTTATTTGGATATGAGATTTTGATTTCCCAAAATGTTGACATTTTGTTTTTGATTTCTAAATTGTGGTCAGAGACTGTCACCTGAGTGATCATTACATGGAGGAAGGATGCTTTTAAGTTCAACACATATCTCCAAATTACTTTTCAAAACTTTTGTAAAATTGGATCTCCTACCAGCAACATATAAAAAGGCCTCTTCCAAAATCCTCTTCCACACTGAATTTTTTTTTTTTTTTTTT